AAAAAACGTCACTGTAGCCATAATCGGCCCAACGGGCCCCCCTCCAGTATTCTCGAGTCTCAGGCCTCCGAGCGTGGCCCCAAGACGGCCCAAGATACCTTCCAGGCGGCTCAAGAGGACCCAAGGCGCCCCAAGAGTGCTCCCAGAGGACCTCCAGGAGGCCAGAGTCTTGCATGTTCCGCAGGTGGCTCGATGAGTTTAGCCACCTGTTCGGGTGTCCGACGTTCCAGGACGGCCCTACAGGCCCCCAAGAGGCCCGTGGGGGCCCACGATTACCCAGAGAGGGCCCCAAGACGGCCTCCGAAGGCCAAGAGGTCCATTAGAGACCCCCAAGAGGCCACAAAAGTTCCCAGGAGGCCCCCAAGAGGGCCTAGGAGGCCCCAAATAGGCTCCCAGGAATCCTTACCTTCCTCCTCCTATTCATTATCCTCCCTCTCCTCCTCATTCCTCTTCCTCTCCCCAGTGTTCCCACAAGGGGTTCACCACGACTGGGGAAACACATCGTGCCCAACGTTTGACCGCATGGTGTTTCCAAAAGGTAGGGAGCGTTAATGGTTCGCCGTAGGCGTCTCCGATACGGAAATGGTCAACTTGGCGAAGGGCCCAATTCTGTGCAGTCACGTGTAGCGGAGCGCGCGGCCGCGGCCCTCTCTTCATAGATTGCACGCCGCGGGACAGAGCGGATAGGGGGCTGCTGCAGAGCAAGTGTGCACAGGCGCGCTGAACTCCGTGTGGGGCACGTTCCATGGGAAGGGGTTGCCGAGTAGACCAAGTGCCCCCGCGCGAACACGCATATTGAAGCCGCAGGTGGAGCCCCTTGTGGGGCACGACCCGTGCGAGGCATGTGCCGACATGGGCGGGGGCGACGCAATGTGAAGTTGCCCATGTGTGCTATAGGTGTTCTGGGTGGGGGTTCCCTGTGGGGCACGATCAGCATGATGGGGTTCGTTGGGGGCACTATGCGTACCCTGTCTCTGGAGCCGTCGGTGGAGCTCCCTGCGTGGCACGATCCGTGTGAGAGATGGGTCGACGTGAGCAGCAACGCCATGCGAAGCTTCCCTCTGGTGCCGTAAGTGCAGTCACCTGCGGGCACGGTCCGCGTGAGGGGTGTGCCGCAATGCGAATCTTGTCTCTGGGGTGCGATCCTCCTTGTGAGGGGTGTGCCGAAATGGGCAGGAGAACGCTTTGCGCACCTTGTTTTCTGTGCCGTAGGTGCAGCCCCCTGAGGGTCACAACCCGTGTAAAGGATCTGCCGAAATAGGCGGGGGGACGCTCTTGAAATATGTGTGCCAGTGATTGCGCAGGTTTTCCCAACTGGTGATCGTGGCGGAATGGTGTGCCTGTCCATCCGTTGATTGATATGGCGCAGGCTTTGCGCCTGGGCTAGAGCCTAAGTGTGTCCAAAGCTCGCGCATTGCTCTGGTTCTTCACAATTAGTACCACTCCCCCCTTTCCCCAGATTCTGTGCCAGCGGGGCCCCCTGTCTCCCGCCTGTTTCTCATCGCGCTGTCAAGCCTTGATATGGCACAGGTGCGTTCGCGCTCAGGACTTCTTCGGTCTTTCAGAGTGGTGCTTCGCTGCAGCGGTGGCCCCATGTCAGGGTCGGCGCTCTGATGCCGCCGTTCAGGGTGACGCTCCTGCCCCAGGGCGGGCCCCACTTCTGGATCCGGTTCCTTCTCGTTGTCGCCCCCCTTTTCTTCCCCCTCCTTCTCCTCACATCATTCCCCTGGTCATCCTGCTCCTCTCGCTCCTCCTGCTCCTGCTGCTGCTGCTGGACGTTCTCATCTGCCTCATCCTTCCTCAACCTTCTCTTCCTCCCTCTCATCCCCTGGATCATCCACCGCCTCCTCCTTCATTGTACACAGCTCCCCTTCTGATTGCGCATCATATGGTGAGAGGTCTCTCTGGAGAACCAGGTCCGCTGAGAACCGTAGGAGGATAGAGACAGCATCAACGCAAAGGGAAGGAATGGGCGGGAGGATTGGGATGTCAAATATGGCGCGCGCGGCTAACTTGTCCTCCCCCCTCCCCCTAAGCCCCCCGCCTCCGGGCCCTGGCCGCGCTCTGCAGGAGAAGCCCGCGCAGGAGAAGCCCGTGGCGGGGCAGCCCGTTCCAGACGGGCCAGTCGCGGCCGGGCCAGTCTCGGCGTCCGCCCCAGACGACGTCAGGAAGCTGAAGGCGGCCCCCAACGTCAACGACGGCGACGGCGGCGGCGACGGCGGCAACGACGGCGGCAGCGGTGACGACGGTGGCGGTGGCAGGGGCGATGGCCAGGACGCAAAAGGCGGCGACGTTGGCGATGGCTGAGACGAAGAGGAGAAGCACGTGGGCGAGAACGACGCAGGAGACGACGATGGCTTTGGCGAAGACGACGGCGAAGGCGGCGACGGGGGCGACAGTGAGGACGGTGGAGGCGAGGACGAGGAGAAGTGAGGGAGAGGCAATAGGGAGTGGAGCCCCCTCCTCCTCCTCATCCTCCATCTTCATCCAATTCCTCCTCACCCGTTTTCCCCTATTCCCAACCGCCCTGTGTGAGTTGAGTCCTCGCTTTGAATCAGCAGCGCGTGCGTGTCCTTCTCCTTCTCCTCCGCCCGCTCCTAATTCATTGACTCTCCGCATGTCTATTTCCTCACACCCTCACACGCTGTACGGCCCCGTAGGGAGTTCCACCTAAGGTGGCAGTGGGCGCCGTCGTATGGCGCACGCGCCCCCGATCCAGCACACCCCTCACACTTTTTGTGGGATCATACCACGCTCCACCTAATGACGGTCTCTGGTGGCGCCACGCGCCCCCAAGCCGACGCACCCCTCACTCGTCGCGTGCCCCCACAAGCAGCTCCACCTGCGGTGTGAGTGGGTGCCATCGTATGGAGCACGCGCACCCTCTCGGCACAGCCCTCACACGCTTCGTAGTTCCATACGGGGCACCATCTGCAGCCTCAGTGGGGGCCGTCGTATGGCGCACACGCCCCCATTCGGCGCATACCTCACACGCGTTTGTTGCACCATCGTGATTTCCACCTGCGGTATCAGTGGGCGCAGACGCATGGCGCACGCGTCCCAAAATCAGCACCGGCCCCATGTTGGTGTACGTCTCGCACGTGCCCCACTTGCGGTTTCATTGGGCGCGGACGTATGGCGGCACCGCGCCCATGTTAGTATACCCCGGACATTGTTTATCCCCCGCAGGGATCTCCGCACACGGTATCAGTGGGCGCCGACGTACGGCGGGCGGCACGGCCCGCATTCCGGCACGCCCCGCAGACGTTTCGTGCCCTTTAGGGGGTCCCATTTGCGGTCTGGTCGCCGACGTATGGCGCATGCGCCCATTTCGGCGCACCTCCCACACGATTCGTGGCCCCATAGGGAGCTCCACCTACGGCGTCAGTGGGCGACATCGTATGGCGCACGTGTTCCCAATCAGGCACACACCTCACACGCTTTTGCGACTACATCAGGATTTTCACCTACGGTATCCGTGGGCCCCGACGTATGGCGCACGTGCCCAAAAGTCAGCAGCGCGCCTAGTTCGTTACATCCCTCACACGGCTCGTACCCTTTAGCGAGCCCCACTTGCGGTCCTAGTGGGTACCGACGTATGGCGGCACCGTTCTTTGTTGGCATAGAGTTGCATTTGTCTTGCACCACGGGGAGCTCCACATACGATATATCAGAGTGCGCCGACTTACGGCGACACCGCCCCCATTTCGGCACACCCCTCACGAGTTCCGTAGCCCCACGAGGAGCTCCGTCTACGTCCTCACTGGGCGCCGACGTATGGCGGCACCGCGCCCATGTTGGCACACACACACAGCTGCATGTGTCATGCACCACGGGGAGCTCAACATACGGTATCAGTGGGCATCGACGTATGGCGGCACCGCGCCCATGTCAGAAGAAGAAAAAATGCGCCGACGTGTGGCGCACGCACCCATGTTGGCGCACACTTGTATTTATCATGCACCACGGGGAGCTCCACATACGGTATCAGTGGGCGTCGATGTGTAGCGGTACGGCCCGCAATTTGGCACACCCCTCGCAAGTTTCGTTGATTTCACAGAGTTCCACTTACGGCCCCAGTGGCGTGGTCCGCATGTAGGCGCCGTCTATTTCTGCGCACGCTTCACGATCATCGTGGCCCCATAGGGCTCCCCACCTTCGACCACAATGGCAGGGGTCCACATGGCGTGGCGGCGTCGCCCATGTCCGTGCACCTCTCACAGGGATCACGCCCCCATGGGGAGTTCCACCGACGGCCTCAATGGCAAAGTTTGCATACGGCGAGGCCCCCCTGGGGAGACTGGCGTGTAGATGTTGCAGTGCGTGGGTGCTGGGAGGTACGACTGCGACGGGCGCGGGTGTCAGACTGTGCGGCCCGTAGGGGCAGGAGAGAGGCTGAGGAGGAGGAGAAGGAGGAGGAGGAGGAGGAGAACAGGGAAGGATGGAAGAACGAAAGACGGGACAGGAGGGAGGAAAAGGGAGAAAAAGAAGAGGAGGAGCAGGTGGGAGGAGGAGGAAGAGGAGAAGGAGGACGAGGAGGTGGAGTTTTGTGGAGGAGCGAGGGAGTGGGAGGAAGAGGCGGGAGGAGGAGGAGGAGGAGGAGGAAGTAGGAGGAGGAGGAGGAGGAGGAGGAGGAGGAGGAAGGGGGAGGAGGAGGGGGAGAAGGAGGAGGAACAGGAGGAGGCAGAGGAGAATGAGCAGCAGGAGGAGGAGGAAGCAGCACACCAGCCAGGCTGGAGAGTTGATCGAGGTCATAGAGTACCCGAAGAAAGACGAGAAGTCGGGGAGCATGCGCTTGAAGTGCAAAGCAAAATCGGACGGCCATGTGGGCTACGCCACATTCCAGAGCAACACCGGAGCGGCGCCTCTGCGGCTGGCATACGAATGCAATGCTTTCGAGGTACAGCACGGCACGTCAGGCACAGCACGCATAGGCGTGTACGGCACGGCCCTCACAGCGCGTCAGGCCAGCACAGCGCACATGGCAAGGCAGGGCAAGCGCGGCACGGCATGCGCACCGCTGCACGCATGCAAGATTCATGCAAGGCACGAGCGGTGCAGTATGTTGTAGAGCAATCGAATTGCCATGCGCGCGCACAGTGATGTTGTCCAAATGCGAGTGAGTACGTGCTTGGTTGGGTCATCGTTTCTTGTATTACCTTGCTGTGCTCCCCCTTACTAAATGTATGCGCTTCTCTCTAAGCGTAGAAGCTCGATTTGCATCCATAGTTTTATATGTATATGGGCAGTCCTCTCCCCAGCACCCATTCATTGTTGTGTGGTTAGCTATGTTGTAGTGCCCATGCCCTCTCCGTCTCCCTCTCTCCCTCTTCTTGGTGTCTTTCTTGTTGCCCTCCTCTCTCCTGTCCCTCAACTTTCCCGCTCGCAGTGTCTCCTGACGTCTGCTGGCGCATTTTGTTCGACTCCACTGGCGAGCGCGCTCTGGCTGCTAGGCTGGCCAACGCCCAACGGCAACGCGCTATAGAAGGTGCAAGCGGTGCTTTCCCCACAGAGGAAGCACAAAGTTGGCAAGCCATCCCGCAGACAGGAGGAGCCACTGACCCCTGGGATTTCGCCGGGATGCTTAGGACTTGTGGGGTGCTAGCCCTAGGAACAGTATGATTTGACTGGGACACTTGGAGTTCCTGGAATTGTCCACCCTCCGACACAAATCGACCCTGGAGCCCCCCAGGGCTCCGAACCTCAAGCGTCCCCATGAATTCACCGAGTTCGCGACATCAGGGAAGCCCCAAACTTGTGATTTCACTGGGGTGCTAGTTCCAGAATACATATGGTTTCATTGGGATGAATCGGATTCCTGGGTTCGTCTACCCTCCGACATCACAAATATCCTGAAGCCCCCCCTGGGCCCCAAGTCCCAATCATCCCTGTGAATTCACAGGGTTCGCGACGCCGGGACAGCCCAAACCCTTTGATGATTTGGCTTACGCCGCACCGCCGACCCCTTGGGGGAGAGTCGCTGTCACGGCTTCTGGGTGCTGCGTGATTTATGTTTGTATTTCTACCGAAGGCGCCTACGGCGAATCACCGCCGCCCCCTGCCCTTGTGGAAGCGCCTATGTGTCCGACAGCTGGACTAGAGCTTGGCCAAGCTATCGGATCATGTGTTCCCCGAGTCGGTTTGGAAAGGTTTCGGGGAACGTGGGGGGGAGGAAGGGGAGGAGGAGGAGAAGGAGGAAAAAAGAAAAGGGGGAGGATGCCTCTTCGGAACCTCTCGAGGCACTCTTGGGCTCGATTGGGCCATCTTGGGACCGTCTTGGAGACCATGTTGGGGCTATCTTGGGCTCTCTTGGGGCCTCTTGAGGGTGTCATGGGGCCATTTTGGGGCTTCTCGGGGGCTTCTTTGGCCGTCTTATGGCGTTCCTGGCCCGTCTGACGCAGTCGGGAGCCGTCTTGGGGGCCTCTCTGAACCGACTTTGGGCTCTCTTGGGGCGCTTCGGATCCGTCTTGGAGGCCATCTTGGGCGTCTTGGAGGCCTCTTGGGGCCGTCTTGGGGCCCTCTTGGGACCTTCTTGGAGGCTTCTTGGGCCGTCATGGGGCCATCTTGGAGGCCTCGTGAGCAATTTTGGGGCGATCGTGGGGGCCTCTTGGGCCGTCTTGAGATCTTCGGAAGGCCGAAAAGAAGCAAATGCCAAAACCTGTCACAAACCTTTGGAAACCAATGATTTTGGCCTCTTCGGGCTCTCCTTGAGGACCTCTTGGAAGCGTCTTGGGGGGCTCTTGGGGGCCTCTTGGGCCGTCTTGAACCATCTTGAGGCTATCTTAGGCCGTCTTGGAGGCATCTTGGGCCATCTTGGAGGCATTTTGGGGCCATCTGAGCCGTCTTGGAGGCCATGTTGGCCGTCTTGGAGGCGTCTTGGAGGCCATCTTGGGCCGTCTTGGAGCCGTCTGGAGCAGGAAAAACCCTTGGCAACCACCTCTGGGCAATCTTTCCCGGTGGCCGGCGGGACCGGCCGAAGCTCCCGGGGGAGTTCTTGTGGAAAAAGAGCTAAAACCAAAACCGAAAGGATCTAGCACGCCAGGCACCCCTGTGATGAATCAACAGGGGGCGGCGGATCGAAGACGCCTATGGCGAATCACCGTCGCCCCCTGCCTTTTTGGTAGCGCCTACGTGGCCGAACGTTGAGGCCAGACCTGCCAAGCTATCGGACCATGTGTTCCCCGAATCGGTTTGGAAAGGTTTCGGGGAACACATGGGCATCTTGAAGGTCATCTTGGCCGCCTGGAGGCCATTTTGCCCCTTTCGGGCCTTCTCGGAGGACGTCTTGGAGGTCTCTTGGGCCGTCTTGGAGGCCATCTTGAGCGTTTTGGGGGCCTCATGGGCCGTTTTGAGGGCCTCTTGGGGCCGTCTTGGGCCTCTTGGGCGATCTTTGGGGGCACTTGGGCCGTCTCGGGCAGTCGGAAGGCAGAAAAAAAAAAAAAAAAAAAAAAAAAAAACTACCACAATCCGTCAAAAACTCATGGGAAATCAATGAGTTTGGCCTTTTCGGGCCTTCTGGGGGCCCTCTTGGAGGCCTCTTGGGCCGTCTTGGGCCAGCTTAGTGCCATCTTCAGCCGTCTTGGTGGGGCCCTGCCCCGTCCGACGCCGTCGGAAGGCGTAGGGGGGGCCTCTCTGGGCCGACTTGGGGCCCTCTTGGGGCACGAACATGTAAATCGAGGGCGAGAGCAATTAAGGAACGGGTGAGGGAACTTGACAGGAAACGGCAAAATTTCAAGTGCTCAAGAGGATGACGCATATGCGAACTTGAAGGACCAAGGTGCGTGGCGCTAAGCGCCAACGCAGTCTTGTATATATATATATATATATATATATATATATATATATATGTGCACGTACGTGTGTGTATATATAGACACATACAAACATATCAAGTTGCCTGCGGCAAGTCCCGTCACCGTGCCAGCCCAGCTTTATTGGAGGTGCGTGCGCGAGAACACGGAGGTCCTAACGAGTGAGATGTTGTACATCCGGTCTTGGGGAGCCGCAACACGTGCCGGGTTTCCGTTGGGCCGGCTTGGGGATTTTGTGAGCAAAGTGTTTCACGCCGTCACAAGGGACATTGCTGTCTTGGGGTTTTGGTGCGTGTTTGAACTCTGCAAACCCGTCAGGGGCGATGGTGATGATGGTGATGATGATGACGGTTATGCTGATGACGATGATGATGATGTTGATGATGATAATGATGACGATGATGATGACGATGACGTTGACGTTGACGTTGACGGTGCCGATGATTATGACCATGATGATGTCGATGATGATGATGAGGCCGCGGATGTGGATGATGGTGATGATGATGTTGATGACGGTGGTGGTGTTGGTGAGGATGCGGAGGATGTCGGCGATGGGGATGTTGATGCTGTTGATGACGTCGATGGTGATGTTGTTGCTGACGGGAAGGATGCTGTTTGTGACGAGGATGTGGGTGATGACGGCGGTGTTGATGACGGTATTGATGAGGATGAGGATGAGGATGAGGATGATATTGATGATGATGTTCATTATGATGATGATGGCGATGATGGTGATGGCGATGTTGATAATGATGATGAATATGGTGATTCGGGTTATAGTATTGATGCTGATGGTGATGATGGAGATGAGGACGACGAGTAGATTGATGATGTTGTTGATGATGCTGGTGAGCGTGACCATGCTCGTGATCATGGCTATGATGATGATGATGAGGAGGAGGAGGAGAATTCTGATTAACACAACGATAGCGGTGATGAGTTGGACGAGGAGGAAGATAAGGAAGATGACGGCGAGGAGGAGGAGAAGGTAAAGGAGGAGGAACGCCGTCACGTGTGTCCTTTCGTCGACACTTCTTGAGGAGCCCTCATGGACCCCATTTGGGGGGTCTTGGGGCCCCTGTCGGGCCTCTCGGGGGCCACAGGGCCCTTGGGGTTTTTGGGCGCCTCTTGTGGCCTCTTGGGGGCCTCGTTCGGCGAAAGGCTCGAATTGACTGTTCGTGCTCCCCCTCTTGCGCCTCTTGGACCCGGCTTGGGGCCCTCTTGTGCCGTATTCGGTTTGTGTTCCCCCTTCTTGGGGGTTTTCTTGGGGCCTTCTTGGGGTGTCTTGGGACCCGCTTGGCCCGTCTCTGAGCCCTCTTGGGCCGTCCTGGGGCCTTCTTGGGGGCCTGTTGAGCCGTCTTAAGGCAGTGTTCGGGGCCTCCGGGGTCGTCCTGGGACGTAGGAAGCTCGAAAATGCTATAACCCCGACCACATTGCAAAATCTCATGGGGAATAATGATGTTTGCATCTCGAGGTCCTCTTGGGAAGGCTCTTGGGGCTCTCTTGTGACGCCTCGAAGGCCTCGTGGGCCGTCCAGAAGTCAGATTGGGCCGTCGTGATGCCAAAGTGGCCCGTCATGGAGCCATATTGGGCCGTCTTGGAGGCATCTGGGCCTCGTGAGCGCAAATCTGTCACATTTTGCCAGGCAGTGTCGTTTCAGGAAGATGGGATGGTACATGCCGCTGTGTGCGGGGAGAGGGGGGCACTTTTGAGAATTACAGAAACCCTATCAGACAGCACTTTGTATTCTAGCGCGCCCCGACGTGCCAGAGGGCGAGGTGGCGGATAAATGTTTAGATATCTGTAGTACAAAATAGGCACACTTTTGTGTGTATATTATTTATGCATATATATATATAGAGAGAGAGAGAGAGAGAGAGAGAGAAACAAAAAAAAAAAGAGAAAGAGAGAGAGAGAAAGAGAGAGAGAGAGAGACAGAGAGTTTTCGTTCTCTCGCTGTATGCTGTCATTGCACTACCCAGCTGCCTCACCTGGTCCATCCTCGCAACCGCTCGCTGCTTTTCTTGGTCCACCGCTGGTCCTGGTCTTGCTGCGCCACTAGCGTCCCTGTGCTCTCAAATGCCGTCGCCTGGCGGGCTCCTCTCCGTCGTCAGAGCACCCTTCCTCATCATCCTCTTCTTTTAATTGCCGGAACCGCGAGCCAGGTGTTCATGGATTGCGTGTAGCGGAGCTGGACTTGGCCACTGCTAGGAGCGGGAAGCAACCCCGCTAGGAGCGGAGGGCTTGCTGACTGCGGTGGCAGCGGTTCCATCGATGCTGTTCCCCGCCCAGAACCAGCCCCAGCGCTTCTTCTGATTATTCGTATCAATCATATCATTATTATTCGTGATATTATTATTGTTATTCTTATAAGTATTTATAGCACTAGTATTCATATATTCAATATTAGTATTATGTTTATTATTATTATTATTAATAATATTACTATTACTATTATGTTAATCATTATTATTAATAATAGTAGTATTAATGTTATTATAATTATTATTATCATCATTATTAGTATTGTTATTATTTTTATTAATACTAATATTTTTTATTATTATTATTATTAATAATAATACGTATTATTATTATTATTATTATTATTAGTATTATTACTATTCATATTATTATTTGTATTATTGGTATTAGTAGTATTATTTTTGCCCCTTTCTGCCTGTGTCCTCGAACTCCCCCCTGCTGCATCATCGACGATCTTCCGAGCCCCCTCGCTCACTCTGGCCTGGCTTCCGAAGCTCAAGTCGCACCCGCGCTGCCGAGCCTTTCGTTCCAGAGTTTGTCTTTCTGCAGTGGTGAGATGCGTGGCGGCGCACACAAGGGGGTAGCGCGAATGGGGGCGGCATTCTAGGAAGCCGGGGGAGCTTCTGAGAAGGCAGGTGTCTTCTTAGAAGCCATCCTGGTTTCCACGAGTCCTTATTGGAGAGGCCTGACGGCCGGTGCCGCCGACCCTGATCGAAAGGGCTAGGAGTGGGGGGAGGAAGCGGAGGAGGAGGAGGAGTTATGTAGAAAATCCTACAGGCCTCGCGCGGCCCGCAATAATTGCATTTTCGCGCGTTTACGTCGGAACTTCGTTGGGTTTACGTAAAGATGACGCTTTGCGCGATTTCCTCAAGATGTTGCGCACAGCCATTCGGCCGTCAATCCAGACCGCACCCCCCGAACCGCTGTCAACGCAACCTGCGATATGGGCGCCAGTCATTCTTCTTTACACCGCCGACAGAGCACAATGATAGACCACTGCAATGGTAAAAACCGCTTGTGCGCAAGCCGCGCGCCCCCTCGCAGCATTGGGGCAAACGTCGGCGCCGCCGTAGGGGGGTGGAGGAACAGGGGGAGGAGGAGGAGGAAGAGAAGGACCAGAGAGAATCCATGATGCATCAGCGATGCTGCTAAACACCTTCCCGTCCCATGTCTTCTCCTCGTAAGTCCATACAAGGATTCCCTTTCACACCTGGACGCGCGCCCTTGTATGACGGGCGCCCCATTGGCCTGACAGGCGTCCCATGGGCCTGACATTGATGAGGAAGGCTGAAGGCGAGAGCCCAATTTTGAAAACCAACCGCCCTCCATCCGTGTAGTTGTTGCACAATTTTAAGGCGAATGTCCGCGGCGACATGGCGAGAGCCTTATTTTGAAAACGAGCCGCCGTCAACCCGTCCATCATATCACACATCAATCACACTCGTGATCACGTCAGCACGTGGCTCAATGGAAGACGTTTCTGTGTTGCGCGCTTCCTTGCGCGCATTGCGCGCCCGATTGCAGAAGCAGTCCGGAGCGTCGGATTTTCCCAAAACTGTTGCGGCAATCCGCGACTTCGAGACCGCTTTCGCTGATGAGTTCGACCAGCCCTGCGGTCCGGGCCGCAAGCGCGCGGCGGAGGGCTCGGAGGAGCATTCCAAACTTCGCCGTCAGTTGAAGCACCAGAACGCGAAGCGGAACGAGGCTGAGGACGAACTGCGCCGGGAACGCTCCGAGCGTTTTGGGTGCCGAATCCAGGCGATGTGGTTCGTGAGGGTGGTTTTTGCCAAGCCTTCGATGCCAGCTAGCACGCTGGCGGAATTCTGCAGGGACTTTTCCGTGGTGGAAGCGCAGCAGATTTCCAAGACGCGGGTTGCCCACGTGCGGGACGCGATGGCGGAGATGATCAAATCTATGAACCGAGACCAGGTCGTCGACGCAATGGCCGCGGCCAAATTTAGGGGCCCAGCCGGCGATTCATGCGCAGTGTACCTCCACCACATCCACGACGAAGCCCTCATGCGGATGAAGTCAGACGCGGTGGAGACGGATCCGAAGTACGACCTGGGGGTAGCGGTTTCCCGCGGCAGAAGCTCGAAGATGCAGGGCCATGCCATGCACATGATGATTGAAGGGCGCCAGACGGAGATTTTCACTGAGATCCAACCTCTGCTGCGAAAGGACGGTCCAACAATAGCGACGCCGATCGTTCTCACGGCAGAGACCGCAATTCGTGTTAGATTGGAGGGGCTGGCGAAAAACCCGAATCGTTTCAAGCGCCTCCGCCTTTTGCACATTTTGGTAGGGGACTCTATCGCGACAAATGCGAACGCCGCTAAGCGGGCGCTGGAGTATTTTCGAGCTCCGGCGGCATCCCTCGGCGTGCGCTACGGGCTCGCAGTTCTTGCGTGCTCGTCTCACCAGGCCAACCTTGTCGTGTAGGTTGCGATCTGTGGACGGATTGTTCGCAACGCGGTCCATGCCGACAGATTGCGTGGGACGTGCAGCCGTTTCTACAAGTATCTAGTGCTCGACTACATGGTCGAACTTGCGTCCAACTTGAGGAGGCACATCGTCGACCATCTTGACTTGGACACCGACGGCAGCCGCGACTTGTCAGCCGCCCGAGCCAGGTCTCTGCGGCTGCAGAAGCTTTACGGAGAAATGGTGTTCCCCGCGGATCTGATGGAGGTTTATAACCTTGGCATCGACGTTTTCGCCCACCACGGCCCCCCCGACATGGGCCCGAAAGAAGCAATGTCGGAGGCTTGCCAGGCTCTTGCGAAGCACGTCCTGCGCGCGGAAGACAAGCCGATAGTCGCGCGCTTTCTTACATTCGCGCATTGCGCGTTCGGCCTGCTTCGTTTTAAGATGCTGCGCCTGCCAGCCGCCATCTTGTCAACAGGGGCTCTCAAGCCGCAGCGCCAGAACCAGAAGCGACTCAAGGCGGCCAGGGATTACCTTGAGAGCCAGCAGGAGCGCCGGGAGCTGAAGAAGGCGGCCCTTTGCCCGAGGTTGTCGCTGATCGCCGTCGCCGTCGCGGCGCAGACGAAAAAAGTCGAAGGGCGGCCCCCGGCCCTCGCGCGCCTGGGCCAGTGGCAGGTGCAGAGGGCGACTGCGAAGGAGCTGGAAACAATTTCCCAGGCGGGCAACGGCGGGGGGAACGACTTCGGGCCAGGACGGCGCGCCGATGGGGTCACGGCGCTTTTTGTTTTTTAAGATTCGGGCGGCGGCTACGGCGGCGCGGCGGGCGGCAGTTGCGGGCGGGGGCGGAGGTGAGCGGGCGCGGGGGCGGGGCCCCTGCCCTCCTCCTTCTTCCGCGCGCCCCCGAAGGCACTCGACGCGGACCCGGAGCTCGACGGCGCCGATTGCGTCTCGGCACTTGTGACCACGCAGGGGCACATCAACATTCGGTTCGCGGAGTACCAGAAGTCCCCAGCGCGTCTCTGGACCCCCTGTCGAGCACGCAACCCCGTGAAGTACCCGAAGGCCATAGAGGATTTCTTGGAGTGCGACGAGGAAGAGCTCGACGCAGGCTGCTCGCTCGCTCTCCGCGCGGAGGCCCTGGCGCGCGGCTCCCCCGCCGACGCCGCGACGTTCGCGACGTCGGCTGAAGTGCAGTCCGAGATCCAGGGCTTAGTGGAGGAGGCCAGCGCCAACAGCATGGAAGGGGAGCGGCGGCGCGAACAGTCGAAACAGGCCGAGACCACAGAAATGTCGACGGCTGGGCGGGCCTCCCGGACCGCCATCCTCCAGAGGTACCGCTTGCAGAGGGAGCGCCACCTCGCAGCCGCTCTGGAGCAGGGCAAGAAGGCTAAGCAGGACAAATACATGAGCCTCACTGCTCTTGCGGCGAGGGAGCAGCCCTCCCTGTTCCCCCGCGCCGTTGGGTTCCTCAGGCAAGAAAAGGCGGCGCCCGCGAGAGCCTCGCGGGCGCTGGCGCAACCAGGGGACTCGGCCAAGTTCCGAGAGCACGTCGATTTGCACCGGGACCGCCTCAAGAAAGAAGCCCGAGCTATACGAGAAGCGGTCAAGAAACGATGGATTTCAAGGCCCATGCCGCGCGCGAATGCCGAGTGGCTGCAGTGGATGGACGAGCACGAAGAAGAGCGGCGCACATATCTCCGGAGGCCCCCTCCAAGGGGAAGAGTTTCTCGAAGAAGTTGGCGGCGATGCCCGGGCCCCCCGCGGCCCCGCGGGCGCAGCCGGCGGAGTGCCGGGATCCCTCCCCGAAGTGGGTCTCCAAGCTTGCCGCTTGCAAGCAGGGCTTCTTCATCCTGCAGTTCGGGGCCCAGAAGACGGCGGCGTTTGCGGCGTGCCTGCGCGGCCACTGCTGGGCGCTGCGGCTGGAGGAGGAGGGCGGGGAAATCTACTTGCTGAGCCCCAAGCGAGTAGAGACTTATTTCATGCCCATTGGGGCGGCCGTGGCGAAGTGGAAGTGCCAACTGGAGGCCGACGTCGGCGTCTTCCAGCTGCACGTCGCGCACGAGGGTTTCGAGGGCGACTGCGTGCGCTTCCGGGCCGCTGCCGCTTGCGCCGTCGAGGGCGATGCGCTGCAGCCTAAGCGGGCAAAGTCTGAGGAAACTGGCGCCGCGCACGAAGATGATACCGACGATGTCTCCGTGCCAGGCTCCGACGTGGAATCCGCGGCGTCCAGCTTAGAGTCCTCGGCGGCGGACGTGGCGGAGGAGGAAGCCGCGGACGGCGACTCCTCCGCGTCCGACGTGGCCGACGAGGGCGCCGCTGAAGTCGACGGCCAGAGGGCGCCCGATGGGGGCGCACGTCGTCAAAGCCCTGACGAACGGGTATTTCACGTTCACGAACAACCCAGACTACGAAGACGCCAAGGTGCAAATCCGGCCGCGCTGGAGGGTCGCGGCCGACCTTGGAACCGCGATCATGTCAAAGACCGCCACTTGCG